AGTCCCCAATAGAGAGAGAGAGAGAGATTGGCAAATTTATCTAAAATGCCATCAGCAGTTCATTGATGCCACATTATTTTCATCAAATGGGTCAAAAGATCACCATTTGTACAGTTTTTGTTGTTGTTGTTGTTGTTGTTGTTTTTGTCCCAAAGCTTCCATTTCAGTCCTCTAACCCAATATGTATTACTGTATTATCAGTAAATTTTCAGGGATATTTCTCAATGACTGTGCAGCTTTCCCCTTGACAACCCAGCAGAAAAGTTCCTGTCCCCGTGTAACAAATTTTGATACCTAAGGAAGCATCCCCCAAAATAACACAGGCATACTTGTATTCTTGATAAAATTCCTAACATATTATTTCTAAGGACAGAGCTAGATTCAAAGTAGTACCCCAAACGGAAACATTGCTTCAGATAACATATATCACAGTGTTAAACAGTTTCTGTTACTGACATTACCATTCCAGAGACTTAAGTATAACTGACAAAGTATAGGCTATATGAAACGTAAATAAAAATATTACAGCATATGGGCCAAATCTGACAAAGATGCCTATAAAGTGTACTTTGTGGAAATTTGTTTATAGTTAAGGGACTGTTGAGTTCAACAGATATGACCGTTTGCTTCTCTAGAACACAAGTGTATGTTGTGGCTACTGCCCTTTGACCCTGTTAGACAGACTGGTCCTTCTCCAGTCTCTTTTTTCCTCCCTTTCCCTCTTTTCTCTCTTCTGGACTAGGAGCGAGCAAAAGAAAAAAAGGATATGTGATAGGCAAAAGCCATTTCGTGTCCTGGTTGAATTGTTCGGTATGCACCTCCCAGAGTGCGTGCTGAAGATCACCACTAACTCGAAAGACAGCCACCTCTAGGTTGTTCTGCCAAAACCAGGGCAAGGGGAGACTTCTGTGGGAAACCCCGGGTTAAAGAAAATTAAGCAGATTAGCAGATTGCCATTGCCAGCCTTCACAAAAATCTTTCAAATTCAACTGTGCGGTATGGGAAACAGAGTCTATCTAAAACTTATTTGATCATGAAATACTTCTTCCTCTGAAAAGACACTGATATGTCAAGGGGCATGTTGGCATGGGCCCTGAGAGCAAGCAGCAAAGCGACACTGTTCCTGAGAAGTATGAGTGACCCCAGAGCAAATAGAAACCAGCCATCATGAAATGAGCTTCCCAAGTATACTTCCATTTTCAGGCCTACCTTTTTATTTGGGTTAGGAGAGAAGAACCAGTATTCGAATTAATGATTTTCCTTTTGGAATTTCTAAGAAGCCCTCTCATGAGGAAAAAATAAAAACAAAGGAACCTTTAGGAATTATTCTCTGTCAGCTGCTTGTGCATCAGCTGCTTGTGAATTGGGGTTAGAGCTTTAGAGATGACTGTCATTGACTAGCCTTCACTGTCATTATGGCCCACATGACTTCTGAAAACTATCATTTTATTTTTAGTGACATTTTGATGACAACTACTCTTCTCTTTCTTTTTTTTAATTCCCCATTTTGGCTGCTGAGGCTAAATCAATACAATCTCTGGTCTCTTTCTCCCCATCTTGCTGTTTCTTTGCCCACTTTATTCCTCCTGCTCAGAATGCCCTTTTCTGTCCTATATGCATATCTAAATTCTGTCCTTTCCACTTCGATTTAGGAAGCAGTAATTTCTCTCTTCTTTCCATACCAAAGCACTTTGCCTGTAGCCTTGCTTAACTGTACCTCTAATACCATGCCACATGGGGCAGTTAATTGATGTCCATGCCCTGCTGGTTGGGGAGCATCAGAAGACAGCCATGTCTTAGACATCTCTGGATCCTCCACCTGGGTTCATCTAGTGGTTGTACAGAGTAGCTTATCCAGTGGATGTTGACTGATGAAAGAGTGACTGGTTAATTATTTGTAGTGTCCTACTTCCTCTCAGTTACTGGTTGTATATTGCTAAAGCAAATATGATAGGAAAATAAAAGTGGCAGAAAGTATTGCCTAATTGGTTCTTCAGGGCATCCCTTATAAATACTACGAAACAGGAAAACATTTCTTGAGGCAAGTGTTGAATTCAGACTGTCCTCCTGCTACTCTTGAAGGGAGAACGACTATGGTCCTTCTGGACAGAGAAAGACACCTTTCTATGAGGTGCTTGAAAGTACCAGTATCCAGCTGCTCTGTTTCCCTGGTCGTTGTCTCGAAGGTTCTAAGGGTCATCTCTATTGAATTCAGACACTTCTCAGTGCTCTTGTCAAAACTCTGTCCAAGTTTTCTCTACCTCACAATTTTGTAGTTCTCCAAATTGGATAGAATTGTTAATTAAGGGTCAGGCCAGTACTAAATATAGTAGGAGAATTACTCTTGAATGTTAACATATGCTAGAGGCTCTAAGTTACAGACATCCAGCTTTCAAGCGGCTGTTACTGCTCTGACCACATCTCACTCCCAGTGCCCCCTCTGTCACTGCCCTGAAAGCTACCACAGAAAGGCAAAAAGCAAGTTATAGCTTGGGAAGATCTATGGACAAAGATGCAAAGGAAAGAAAGTTGACCTGCAAAGAGGAATTGCTCAGGGTTGCTGACCCCAAGAACAGCAGCCTTCAGGGCCTGGGTGACCTGTCACTTCCCACTACCTACATTTCTCTACCCTGCCTTGTTAGGCCACCTGAGATTCCAGTAATTAGAGAAGTATAACCATTCTTTCTCCAGTCTGATTACTGTGTGCTGAGAGAGGAAACCTACTAGACCACTGGTTCACTTTCTCGGATGTACCAGCAGTAGGAGCTACTCACTCTGCGGCCATGTGAAGAACTAAGTTCTGGGAACTTGGAGAGGGTCCAGGCAGCCTTGCAGTCATCTCTCCTTTCCTCAGCCCAACCTCCCCACACCCCACCCCACCACCTTACACGTGCTTATCTGGCCTCTCCATTTGCCATGCTCCCATCACGCTATGAGTGGCATCACTGCATTGTACAAAACCTGGCGGGGGGGGGGGGGGACGGACACTGTTCACATAGCAGTGAATTAGCACAGTCATTAGTAATTGTCTAGCACGTGTGGTAGGGATTCAGTAAATGTTTGTAGCCATTGTGTGCTGGGTCCGGGATTCTCTGAGGTAAGTCTCAGTTATGAAGTACGCAAGACACGGCATTGGCCCAGGGCTGGTGACTTCTTTACTCCACTTAGCTGGGGAAGGATCCACATAATGGAAACATTCCCGGTACTATCTCAGAGAAAGAGCTAAAAGTCTGCCAGGCCAGCAGGAAATTCAGGCCTTTTTGCCTCTCCCAGTGATTCTTCTTCAAACTTCTCAGCCTTGCAACCATTGCTTCAGAGTCTTGCAGATAACAAGGGCACCTGAGTGACTCAGTCAGTTAAGCCTTCAGCTCAGGTCATGATCTCAGGGTCCTGGGATGGAGCTCCACATTGGGCTCCCTTCTTAGCAGGGAGTCTGCTTCTCCCTCTGCCCCTCTCCACCCCCACTTGTCCTCTCTCTCCCCCTCTCTCAAATAAATAGATAAAATCTTTTTTTTTTTTTTTTTAATTCTTGCAGATAACAGAAGTGCTGCTCAGATGGAGGGAAGGAGAGAGTTGAGGCTTTTCCCTACTTGGTTGCTTTACCTCCCTTCATGGAGGTCCTCAAGGTCCCTTTGGAACAGAGTGGAACCATTGGATAGCCAGTTTACCATGCTGGGCATTTCATGTGCTTTACTGTGCTTATTAATTATTACATCCTGTTTTCAAAGTAACTCTCTTTGCACCAGAATGTGTGGTGAAGTTGTTTTACAAATCCCTGGAAGTTTTGTTCTTTCCTTCAACAAGTTGGTAGCCACTCTTTTTGGAAAAGCATTAACATGCATAAGCACTGTAGTCAACTTCCGTGCTCATTAATGAAGCCCAGAACTAATAGTTACATTGTCGTAATTTGACAAAGCCATCTAAATCTATGCATGTTTTTTGAAAGCTCCCTAAACATGCTGCTAAATCCCCTAAAAAGCTCCTAAACTGCTTTGGCAGCCATTAGCCGAGCATAAGCAGAGGAACTCTTTTCAGTAAGTGAACAAACAGAGAAAATATGCTGAATGGCTGGACAAATGTGTTTCAGCTGGCCCTTTCATTTACCGATGTAAAGGTGCAGTCAGTATCAATCACTGTTTTCCCTGTTGCCCTGAAAATCACAATATCTCTTTTCATCCCACAAGCTCTTTTCACCACAGTAATGTGTCTTTAGAATGACACTGGCATCAGCCTGCTTCCGCTGTCTGAAGTCCAGAGAGCTTAAAAACACATTTCAGGATTCAAGACTTGAACCTTCCTCCCCTTCCGTTTTCCGACCGCCCACTCTGCCCTCTCTCCCTCTGCAACCACTCCACCCCCTCCCCAGATTCTTTTCAGTTCTTCCAGCTCTCCTCACTGAGTAAACAAAATTCACTTCTCTGTCCTAATGCAGCTCTCTAAAGTAAACGTAGAAAACTTCTCTCCGATATTCCCAAGATCTAAGAACTCAGTTCAAGGGATGCACATAAAGAAATGCTCTTACATGTCGGTAATAGCTCAAAGGTCAAAAGGAATGTGGAAATTCTGTGCCTGACAAGGTGTGCTGAGGAGCAGGACCTCGCTGTCTGTCAGAGTATCTCCTTCCTCACCCCCTTGTCACTCGGTTCCTACCTGCCCCCGCTGCACATACACACTCCCCTTTTGTCATCTCGTATCAGAAGCATGTGCCTGCACCTGTGTTCCACCTTTACCGTTGCGAGCTTCTTAAGAGCAAATGCCGTGTCTTGTATCTCTTTCGGCTGCTCCTGATTCTGAGTACTTAATACATTGCTTTGGAATGAAGGCGATTACTTTTTATCCTTCTGAAAACTGAAGCGGAATAAGTGCAAAGATACATGTTAGCGAGGTGCTCATAGTTGTAGCAGGAATATTTGAAACACCGCATTTCCAAAAAACAGTACTGATTGTTTTTTCTCTCCCTTTTTTTGTATGTTTGTTTTTATTTCTTTATTTTGCTTCAGATTATAGCAGTCTGTAGAGAGGCAGCCCTTCTGGCTCTGGAAGAAGACATTCAAGCCAACTGCATTATGAGAAGACATTTTACTCAAGCCTTGAGCACTGTGACACCGAGAATTCCTAAATCACTGAGACGTTTCTATGAAGAGTATCAAGAGAAGAGTGGGCTACATACACTCTGAGAAAGTATACATATTCAGTATGCTAAAAACGCTTACTAGAGAAAACTTGTTTCTTTTTTAAGAATTTTTTCTTGAGACTGTCAGAAAATAAGCAAAGTGTCTGAAATATGTTGACTGGAAATTGAGAGGCTTCAGTGGTTAAAGACATTTTAAATGAGATGGATACAATGAAAATATCCATGAAAGTCTCTGGACATGAGTTTAAATCAGTTTTATCTGGATATGTGTGCTGAGTTTTAAAAATCAAACTTTAGCTTTTTCATTTTTGACCTGGTTTATTCATCCCATGAAATGCTCTCCTAACTCCAGAATCTTTTTCACTGCATTCCTAAGTGCCCAGCCTATGAGCATCAGTTCTATACAAGAACATAAAGAATGCATGTGGATTAGTCCATAGTGAGAAAGATTTACAGGTCTTTATTTTTAAAGGCCAGCCAGTGAAATAGCCAAATGCACCAATCAGATTTATATATATATTTTTTAAGATTTTATTTATTTATTTGACAGAGAGAGACACAGCGAGAGAGGGAACACAAGCAGGGGGAGTGGGAGAGGGAGAAGCAGACTTCCCGCCGAGCAGGGAGCCCGATGCGGGGTTTGATCCCAGGACCCTGGGATCATGACCTGAGCCAAAGGCAGACACTTAACAACTGAGCCACCCAGGAGCCCCTGCACCAACCAGGTTTATATGGCATGTTTCCAGATATGTTTTGTTTTCATTATAATTCACACCTACATTTTTGCTTTGGCCTTCTTAATCTGTACTTACGGTGATTAAAAAAAAAAGAATTAAGAGTTATTTCATGTAATGCCCTTTGCAAATTTAAAAAATTGGAAGTATAATCCCAATCCAGGCCTAGAGCAACAGAGTTGTTTTGTTTCATAAAATACTATAAATAAATTGTATGTTAGTGTTTTAATTTGCACCCATTTTCAGGTTACCAATAAATTTTTTCAGTTCAAAGATAAACCAAATTGTACTCTTAATTATATTGTCTTATGCTGCATTCGAAATACGTATATTTGTGCTCCTAATTATTTATCTTTAGGATTTCTTGACACTTTAATATTCCATAAATATCTTTGAAAAACTGTCAGAAATTGACTCCCTGACTTCCAGTTGAGAAGTTGGCAATGGAAAGAATGTGCACTGAGACATGCTCACTGTAGATCTTTGAAAATTTCCAGAAAGATAAGTCAGGCGAGAAATACCTGATGATCACAATAATGGGACTATACGGTGTTGTATTCTGAAGTCATGTCTCAAAATATCTTATCCTTTGACTATCAAAAATAGATTTGTAAGGCCTTTTTTTTCCCCAGACTACATTGGGTTTATTAGTATATACATAAAACCACCCAGGTAACAAAGAATATGACCACTACTTAGAGCTGTGCTGCAAATGCAATAGCTACTAGTCACATATGGCTATTTAAGTTTAAATTTTAATGAATTAAAATTAAATGATACTAAAAATGTAGTTCACCAGACACGTTAGCCACATTTCAAGTGTTCCATAGCCACCTGTGACAAGTGTCTGCCGTGTGGACAGAATAGATTGTAGAACCATTTCCATCACTAGAACATTCTGTTGGTTTCTGCTGATTTAGAATATAAGGCTCACACAATGAAATAAACAGGACCTCAAGATTACTTTTATGCTTCCCATTTTCAGAAAATAAGAGAAAAACCTTATCCCCAAAGGCCTAAACAGAAAAAAAAAAAAAATTTAAATTCTCACTGCCAATAAAATAAAAACCAGCAATAAGCTTGAACTAGCACAGGCTCTCAGGCTGGAAGCTGGGTGGTGGGGAGGGAAGGGGGCAATCTCAGTCAACAAGGAGCTCAGCTGTTAATGACCACTCAGACCCTTCAGCCCATGTGACATAGAAGTCATAACCAAGGGCGCCTGGGTGGCTCAGTTGGTTAAGCGACTGCCTTTGGCTCAGGTCATGATCCTGGAGTCCCGGGATCGAGTCCCGCATCGGGCTCCCCGCTCGGCGGGGAGTCTGCTTCTCCTTCTGACCCTCCCCCCTCTCATGCTCTCTCTCTATCTCATTCTCTCTCTCAAATAAATAAATAAAATCTTTAAAAAAAAAAAAAAGAAGTCATAGCCAAGCCTCATACATAATGCCCAGATCACTAAAGACCAACACCTTCAGTGTAAGGGCAAATTAGAAAAAAATTCCTCCTGCTGACCAGAGAAATCACAAGGAGCGTCTCTTGACTTGCTCTGTGCTTTGGCTTTGAAAAGAAAAGAAGCAGCTCCTCTGAGAATTCTTTGAGCTTACCTGACCACGGCTTCTGGGTTTGAATTCACACCACCTTTGTGGTACAGAAGCTTGAAACCTAAAAACTAACATGAAAATATGGATCCATGCTAAAAATATCCTTGGGATGACTAGCAGTTCCAATAGTTGGAGGAATATAGCCTTACCCAGGCCGCAGAAGATTCCAACAGCTAAAACCCTACTTACAGAGTTTATAATCCCAAAGGATGTGGAGCAGTGGAGCATAAATTGGTACAGCTACTTCGGAAAGCAACTAGCATATCTAGTAATGTTGAAGACCCGTATAGTCTTCAGAGTTCTCCTCGGTGTATGTCTCAGAGCAAGTTGTTTTCAAGGAGGTCATGATTAAGAAAATCATAGCACTAGTATTTAAATAGTAAGAAACTAGAAATGATCTATCCATCAGTCAGAGAATGGATTTCTATGGATACCCATACAATGCAATACTTAAGGCAGTAAAAAAGTAATTAAAGCTACATGGAAAATGGGAATTTCAAAAAGAACATTTCAGAAAAATATATTTATTTAAAGTTTAAGGCATGCAAAATAATATATGTTGTTTATGGGAACACATGTAGTAGAAGAATACATGGAGGGAAATGAAAAGCATCAAATACCAGGGAGAATTTCCTCAGGGGAGAAAAGTTGAAATGTCCTATCTTAAACTGGGTGATGTGAATACAGGTGTTGATTGTAATCCAGTCTACACTTTTTTATGCCTAAGTATTTCATAATAATGTTTAAAAGATCAGCCTTAAACTGACAAGTTATACTGCAAAGGGCAAAATGCATCTCAAGCCCTGTTCTGCGTTCCTAACGAGCATCACAATCCTATCCTTCCACCCAGTCAGTGGACTTCCAGTGCAATCCACGATGCCTACCACCCCGTGTGTCTGGAAAATCAGAAGTACCAGGATGATAGAATAAAACCCAAGAAGGCAAAAAAAGGATCAGGCTTTAGGACCCAGGAAATGAGAAATTTGTTGGTGAGAGTTAGTGGTTAGGTGATCCTTCTCTGAGGGGATAAATCTGGAGTGAGATCTGTTTCCATGGCACTGTGGTCGCTCAAGGAGCAGGAAGTTAAGAATTTAAAAAGATTTTAGAGCATTACATCTTTAATCTATTACAAACCAATTATTTTTTTCTATCTTTAGATAGCTAATTATTATCGTTGAAAAGGCAATGATCATCTTTATTTGAAGTTTGTGCCCTTTTTATAACAGTACCAGTAAAAACCTGAGTCATAGAAAAGAGCAGGTCAGGTGTCACTAATAACAGTTTACCCCAGCTTCATCTCTGTGAGGGCTTTACTTCTGATGCCCGAGTCTCCTATGTGTGGATTTAAAATCGTGTGTATTATTTGGGTTTGTTTGTGATTGAATGACACAGTATAGTTCATGGAAAATTTAAGTGCAGCAAGAAAAGAAAACGTCCAGCTTCCTGTCTTAAGAAAACAATTTGCTTTATTGGCATCTGGTCAAATGTTTGTCGTTGGTCCAGATTCTCTTCAGGGTTTCAGGATACTCACATTGACACTTTTTGTTTTTTTTTTCAGTGTTCCAAGATGGTTTTGTTTCAATAGTCAAATTAGTGTTTCTTTCTAACAACAAAATTTAGAAGAATGGCTTCTAATTTTTTACTCCTTTATGACAAAGAAAGTGTATTTCTAAGCTTAATTCTGACTGCCCTAACTTTGCTTGAAAAATGTTTAGTTCTGTGTTATTTCTAATATATAAAACAGGTTTTTTAAATAATGTATAGGTTTTCCACTTTGGAAAAATAATTATTGAATTTATAGAAAAACCAAGCTTGAGTGTATGTTTAATTTATCTTAATCAGGAGAAGGCTGCAGAAAAGTTGCTATAAAGATAGAATGAAGTTATTTCCCTGGCCTGTTGTTACTTAAATTTCTGAAGGTGAGGTTGTTAGAGTTTTGGTTCATTTTGTCATGTTTCCCTGAGTCCTTCTGTTAAAGATGAGCACACACCAAAACACCTTTTGAAATTATATATGGGTTGAATTTGCAGGTCCACATAGAAATTCTAATGCTCCAAGTTGATTTGCTTTCCTTCCTTCAGTTTCCATTATAACAGTTGCATGCATGGATAGGCTTTTTACCTACTATCTGTCAAATATACCCCAGTAGCCTATATCTTTTAGGACTCACTTTTGGGGAAAAGAATTCATTCTAGCAAATTTAGGCAGAAAGAGTTGTTACAAGGTTTTAAATGGGTTACAAAATTATTGAGAAATTTGTAGACTCCTCTTTCAAGACCCAGTGATAAACATTTCTGGAAAGATGGTTAAAATGACGCACTTAAGGTACCACACACAACAAAACCCAAAGAAATGAAAAGAAAGAAAAATAGAGTTCATCTATGCTGAAATCAGGGAATGGATTAAACCCCAGGTAAAGTATTTCAAAGGCTATCCGTCAAGTACAACACATTTCGGACCAACTTTTTTAAGTTGGTTAATTCCATGAATTCCAGGAAGTTCAACATCTTACTCTGCTTCAGAACACATATGATGTGTTAAGACCCCATCAATTGTAAGACTATTAATTTAAAAACACTTTTTTGGAAAAAATAATAAATTACTGTGATTTTAATATTATTACATCCTGATTTCAGAAACATTAAAATGTGAAAAATATTTGGGGCACCTGGGTGGCTCAGTCAGTTCAAGTGTCCAACTTTTGGTTTCAGCTCAGGTCACAATCTCAGGGTCCTGGGATGGAGTGTAGTGTCTGGCTCCACGCTCAGAGGGAGTCTGCTTAAGGATTCTCTCTCTCCTTCTCTCCCTCTCCCTCTGCCCCTTGCCCCCCCACCCCCGCTCGCAGAGTCTCTCTCTCTCAAATAAATCTTTTTTAAAATTGTGAAAAATATTCGTATTAAAATCAGTCAAATACAGTTAAGTGAGTTGGGAACTGACATGTGATAGTATGTTCATATGTTTGTCATAAACCCACAGCAATTAAACACTATTGGCACCAACATAATCATAAACAATAATAAAAATGTTGACAGGTAAAAAGGAGAGTCAAGGATATGGAGCACAGATTATTTGGGGCCAGGAATAATCACAGATTGAAATATCCCAGAGGGAAATAGCAACAGGGGAACCATGCCAAAAATCTGGGGGGGAAAGTTTGGCAGTGGAGGAGAAACAAAGTACTGAAAGCTAGAGTACGTTAGGAGAGACACTTTCTGAGGAAAGAGGAAAATGGTTTAGAATACAACTGCTTTGAAATCTCAAAAATGTTAAAATACAGGCAATGTGATATGGGATATAATAAAACATTTGAATAAGATTCAAAAGGAACAGAGCTAATGGAATTTATAATTTATTCCACAAATATGCTCCCACAGATACAAAATGGCATATTATTTACCATCTAATGGTGAAGTATTTATTGTAGCCTTATTTGTTATAATAGCAAAATATTAGAACAATTCAAGTATCTATCAATAGGGTCTATTTAAAAAATTATAGTATGTCCATACAATGGAACATTATAGTGCTATAAAAAAAATAAATAAGCTCTTTATAAACTGATCTAGTAATTTCCTCCAAGATACAGAGAATCTAAATAACTTATAACAAATATATGCTTAAACTCTGCAAACAGAGAATGCATAATATTTTATTCTCTCATATAATCTATATAAATTATATAATAGGGTGTATACACATGCACATACACAAAATATTTGCAAATGCAGAAATGTTGTAGAATGTGCCCTATAATCACCATGTAATAAAACTAAAACTGAGAGGGGCGCCTGGGTGACTCAGTCGTTAAACATCTGCCTTCGGCTCAGGTCATGATCCCGGGGTCCTGGGATTGAGCCCCGCATTGGGCTCCCTGCTCCGCGGAAAGCCTGCTTCTCCCTCTCCCACTCCCCCTGCTTGTGTTCCCTCTCTTGCTGTCTCTCTGTGTGTCAAATAAATAAAATCTTTAAAAAAAAAACCCTAAAACTGGGAAAGGCATCTGGGTGGCTCAGTCAGTTAAGCAGCTGCCTTCAGCTCAGGTCAGGATCTCAGGGTCCTGGGATCAAGCCCCTAATCGGGCTCCCTGCTCAGGGGGAAGTCTGCTTCTCCCTTTCCCTCTGCTGCTTCCCCACCCCCTGTTGCTCCTGCATGTTTTCCCGCTCTCTCTCAAATAAATAAATAAAATCTTAAAAAAAAAAAAAACAAAACCTAAAACTGAGAAATGTAGAAATAACAAAACCCCAACTGTTTAGAAGTTCAAAATTCATCTTGAAATGATTCTTTGATCAAAGGGGAAATCAAAATAGTAGAATATCTGGGAAATAATAATGAAAATACTATATATCAAAATCTATGGAACTCAACACTTTACACAGAAGATAATTTATAAATCTAAATACTTTCATTAATAGAATAAGATTATACATTAATAGAATAAAATAATAATGAAAATACTATATATCAAAATCTATGGAACTCAACACTCTACACAGAAGATAATTTATAAATCTAAATACTTTCATTAATAGAATAAGATTAAGAAATCTCCTCAAAAAGTTATCATAAATAACTCCAAAATTAACTTTAGGAAAATATAAAGGTAAAAGCTTAAATTAAAAAAACAACAGAAATGATTGATCCAATAGCCCATTCTTTGGAAAACAAAATCCAAAACAAATTAATCTTTTTGTGGTGGACAGAATGACGCCCTCTACACACATATACACACAAAGACATCCACGTTCTAGTCCCCAGAAATCGTGTAAATGATATGTTACCTTAAATGCCAAAAGGGACTTTACAGATGTGATTGAATTAAGGATCTTGAGGTGAGAGTACCCTGGATTTTCTGCATAGGCCCAACGTAATCATAAAGGCCCTTATAAGGAGGAAAAGAAGGAAGCAGGAGAATCAGAATCAGAGGAGAGATCAGAGAAATTCGAAGATGCTACGCTGCTGGCTTTGAAGATGGAGGAAGGGACCAGGAGCCAGGGAATGCGCAGTCTCTGGAAGCTGGAAGAGACAAGGAGAGGGATTCCCCGCCCCCCCTAATGCCTCCAGGACAGCCCTGGCAACACCTTGACCTTAGTCCCATTTCATAGACTTATTGCAGACTGCTGACCTCCAGAACTGTTACGGAGTAAGTTTGTGTTGTTTTAAGCCACTGTTTGTGATAATATATTACAGCAGCAATAGTAAACTAATATGGTTTCTGGCTTGCTTTTTAAAAGATAAGGCCACAAATACATAAAGTTGAGGGGAAAAGAAACCACATTTATGAATGAAATAAATTAAGAATTTTGTATAATCATGCCAATAAATGTGAAACCCCTGGTGAAACTGTTGATTTTCATATAGCTACCTCTCATGAATTCTTAAGCTCGGATGGTTTTATAGGCTAAAATTAATTCAGGTCTTCAATCCAATCATCGTTATGCTACTGAAACTGTTTCAGAGCATAAAGAAAAAGGAAGTTTTCCCAATTCGTGCTGTGACTGACATAACGCCACCCCCCCCTTTCACTAGCTACATACCTTTAAAAGAAGCACCTTTAAAAGATTACTACTCAGAATCAAATAATTTAGCATATTAATAGAGCAAAATAGAAAACAATGCATTCAGTATGGAATTCAACATTCATTTCTCAGTGTTTCAAAGGTAAAGATAAGATTAACCTGCTAAAAATAGTAATACTAAGTCCATGGCCTGTAATGTAATTAAATATCAGAAACTAGGGCAATTGTTTATCATTGTTCTTTGAGAGCTAGTGCATGAATAGGGAATGAAGTAAAAACCCCAAGATAATTAACTGAGGGGTTATTATGTAACTAGTATGGTCTCAGACTTCACCGGCTCTTAACAACAAAATAAGGGCACATTGCCTTTCACACCCAATTTACGTCTTTACGTTTTCATTCTCCTATAACCAAAAGTCCATTCTACTGGTTTTACTCCTTCAAATATTTACTGGGATTCCCCTGATGAATACTTCAATGTTTGTCAAGTCCAGTTGGCAGTAGATTAACACCCACTTCAGTGCCCACCTCTATCCCACATCTCCCCACGTAAGCCACTCCTCACCCAGGGGCCCTTGATACTATCTCTTAACAAGCTCCTCCAGGTCACCAGCAATTCCCTGTTACTTTGTCCCGAGTGTGGGCAAGGACCTTGCCTCAGCAGCCCCCAGTGCACAGGCTAAGGCCAGATCTTGGATTTTTACAAAACTACTACTAATAAGGAACAATTACAACGATGAAAAGAAAACACTTCGATTTCAGATTGGCTATCAGAGCTCCTAGTGTCTATATGCATGTTCCTCCATGGGCATATATATATGCTCTATCTTGCTCTATCTCTTTCAACCACCCTGTTCAAAGAGCCAGTCTATCACATACTGAATGTCCACAGAGGAGGGAACAGGGGTGAGGGGCTGGAGGTTGGATCCATGCGAATGGCCAATGATTTCATCAGTTATACCATGTAGCCGGGGGGTTACTAAACACATGAAGATTTGGGGAGAGTGGCTCAGAGAGCATGAAAGCTCCGTGCCCTCTCCCCACACCTTGCCCTATGCATCTTTTCCATCTGGCTGTTCCTGAGTTTTATCTTTTATAATAAACCAGTGATCTAGTAAGCAAAATGTTTCCTTGAGTTCTGTGAGCTGCTCTAGCAAATTAATCAACCCAAAGGAGTGGGTCATGGGAACCTCTGAAGCACAGGCGATAACCTGGACTGATGATTGGCATCTGAAGGTGGCAGGATGTGAGGGGGATGGTGTGGAGGCTGTGGGGGTGGGTTGGGGTGAAGCAGTCCTAAAGGACTAAGTGCTTAACCTGTGGAAGCTGACTCTATCACCAGGTAGTGTTGGAATTGAATTGAATTGAGTTAATAGCTCAATGGTTGGAAGAAAAATCCCCACATCAGAATTGGTGTCAGAATAATATTTGTTTTTTTCTGGACTTCTGAAAAGGAGTGCCAAAAAAATTTATGCTACATTAACTATAAGGCTGCAATAATTATTATGGTGCTGATTTTCATATAGTAATGATATATATGCTCTTTTATTATAGGAAAGGACTTTGTTTCCTGAATTTCATTAGTTGTTCAAAAATTGTCTTTAAAATGCACGTGGTCAAAATCTTTTCTGCAAGTTCTCATGGTATAAACAAACAAATAAAAATAAACTCAACAATAGTTAGATTTGAAAGCAGGTTATATAACCTGGTTTCACCATAATTATACAACTTTGTTTTCCGCCACTCCCAAACAATACCTTCTATATTTGCTAAAAATTGGGAGTTTAGATCTTACTCAGTTTACAGTGAGAAGCCCATGTTCGGTTCTGATGGTCTTTGATGTCTTTGGTGTTTGATGGTCTATATAGATTTCACATTTCTTGGAATCCTTTTAGCCAAAAGTATCTCTTTCCTCTCCCTCTCTCTTTCCTCTCCCTCTCTCTTTCTCTCTCTCTCCCTGTCCAATGCCCATCAACAGTTTGGTATTTGCATGAAATATCACAAGGACTGTGGAGTTTACTTGGTTGGTTGTCTGAAATGGTCTCAATGGTGGCCTGTATTTCATAAGATTAAGATGCCAGAGCTTTCCTGACATAATAAAGATGAAGGAATTTAGCCCTAGATCCTGATAAGTGGCAGAGCCAGGGAAGATGAGAGGCCCCAGGCCCTAGGGCAGGCTTGGCTTCTAAGAGGACCACAAAAAGGTGCTCTATGGCTACAGAGAGAAAGGCAGGGTAGATGGTACTGGGCAGTAAGTGGAGAGATTTGATGGAAACTTAGGACTATTTTTCTTAATGAAATAGGAAGCTCTGTTCTCAGCTAAGTATAGGGATGGAGGAGGAAGTTTTGGAGGTTTGGGAAGAAAGAGTAAATGGCCTATGAGAGTGTAGTAAGATGGCGGGGCAGCACTGAGTTCCCACAGAGGTCAGTGGTCAGGAAATTAGAGCACAATGAATTTTCTGTCATTGGTCAAATTCTTATATTTTTACCTTAAATTCATACCATTTTTATAGTTTTCCTCTACTTTTCTTTTCTCCATCTTATTTTAGCATGTAACAGCCTAAAACAAATTTAATCCTCAATTTCCATTATAAGTGAAAAAAAATCACTTGACTTCTATGCCAAATAAAAATTTTTAAAAATCCTTTTTTATTTGCATGTTCCCACAAAAAAATGTTGTGGCCTTCTGTGCTTTCCCCCCTCCAAGGAACTTCTCAGTAGGAATTCCTCAGAAAGCTTGATGAGGGTGATTGAGTGAGTGCAGAAGAGCCTATTGGCTGAGAGTTAAAGGACAACGGTTAGCCATTTCAAGGACTCCTACTCAGCTCTCTTGCCTTCAGTTAAAAGGGAAATCTGGTCCTATGTCTCCTGGGTTCACCTTCAACAAATTGTCACTTTATTCCTCCACATAGCTCCCATTTTAGTAATAAAATGTGTAGTAAAAGCTAGGACTTGGAATCATTTTAGTAGATACAGAAATACTAACACACATTTTCAAATATTTTGTAAGTTATAAAGACCCACACTTTCGTAAAATGTTGTGATTTTTGGTAAGTTTTCTTACAAAAAGCTGGTGAAAACAAAATATATTACAGTGGAGTTTTAGCACAGAGCCAGATTGTACTAAACCCGAAGAACCGTGAGGATTTTTCTAGTGGCTTCTGGGGTAACGTGTCCTTTTCACCTTTTAGGGTGGGTGAAAGTTTATCACCACAGGTCCCACCAGCCCTGGCAATGGTCCGATAGCTCAGAATCACAAGAATTTGCCCATTGCTTTGGGCGGAAGTTGTCCGTCACTGCCACCCCATGTCAGGTTTCGCCTCTGGTCTCAGGGATGAGAAGGTCCCCACACGCTTATCTCCTCTGCCCTTCCCTGGGGTAACAGTGGAGATGGGGAATGAGGAGGGTGCTTCCACTCCCCACCACATGCTGGTCCACCAAGCTTTCTGTATACCACTCTTCACATCTTTCTTTGCTGCTTCCTTTGGCTGCATTTCGTTCCTTTACCAAGCACTTAGCTGGCCAGCTCCAGTGGACTAAAAGTGAATTCCAGTAGGAAGCACACGGGGGAAGAAAGGACAAGAATTTTGGCAAAATCACAAAATGTGGATAATAATATACCCATCAGAATGGAATACTCACCCATTTCAAGGGGGTGCTGTGAGAACTAATTCGTGTTTGTAAAGGCCTTT